ATTCTGCAGAAACCAAAAGTCAAGTTGCATAAAACAAGGGAATGAGTAAGCTCTGCTTATTACACCAAAATGTTGTTCTGATTTTTCTTAATAATTATGTTCACAACCATGTTTAAAAAAAACTATTTCCTTCTTTTGAAGTAATTCAAAATTCATATTCTTTCATTCTTGGGCTTCTCTCTGCCGTTATGAAATTATGGGTTGTCCATTTAATTGTATGGACCCTGAATATAAGCAAGCTCTCCAAATCAAGGGTTAGTTAGATATCAGGCATTTCTTCATTTAATGTGGTGCTAAGTAAGCCATAGAAAAAATGACATTGTGTTTCCAAGTTAATTAAATGTTTTCTGTGTGTTGATGCTGAAGTTCAGCTTTGTGTTCTAGCTGTGGTAGGAGTGCTTCAGGAAAGTAATATATGAGCTTGAAGTAAAAATTAAGAGGCCTTTGTGGAGTTGCCACAATAGTGTTTTTACAGCGTTCTTTGCAAAAGTACAGTAAGTTTGCTTCAAGCTCCTTTTGTAGCACATTTGTTAGACCTTACTCACATACCATAATTTCCTTCTTCAAATTCAAAATCACCATGATATCGTTAATTCCTGGGTACTGACAATGTATTCCGCACCTTATAAATATACAAAGACTTACATTGCCTCCTCCAAAGAACTTACATCAATTCTTCAGACGTATATAGTACATTGAGAGCTAGTACAAGCATGGGGGATGTAAGAGTCTTACAGAGGTAATTTTTAAATACTTCTTGGAACAAAAGTATTCCCAACATGTAATTACATTATTTACAGATAAACCTGTCTGAATGTTCTCCCCATTTTCCCCATTAAGTTGCATTCTTTCATTGATGATCAGCATTTACCATCTGATGAAGGAACATTGGATGGAAAACATAGTTTGTAGCTCATCAGTGCCCCTCCATAATTAGCTGATTCTTTTTTTAACGGTAAGAAGGGATGGACAATGTAAATACTCATCCAAATCTGTCAGTTCCCAAACCAAACCCTTTGTTCAGTTCTCAGGATGATTGACTGTGTCTTAAGCTTTCATCCTTCATATGGGTCTCCCTTTGACCAATGCCAGCTGCATCCTCAGTTCTTTGGCTTCCCATTAAAAGTGTTCTGCAGCTCAAGTAACCAGAAAGCTCCAGGCTGCGAAGTGTATTTCACCAGAGCACAGATGAGACTACAGAACCCTATCTCACAAAGGCAGACGTTACAGTTGCTGGAGACTTCTACCCCCTAGCTTCTTGATTACTCTGTTCAGAAATGAGTTCTAGGTATGCTACTCCATTCTGTCTACTAGGGCTGCTGAAAGACTAGGGTTGCACAAAGAGCTGAGTTATTGCAGTCTTTTGTATAACCCTTGTAGTTTGAAACCTGGACTAGTACATGGGTCAGTGTTGAAGAGACGAGGTTACATTTGTCTCCCCTTTACTTGAGAATTCACATTTCACCCTGTTCCCAACCACAACTGAAATGCAAGATGAATGTACCAGTTGGCTTATAGATTCTGCTTGTCAGATGTTGTTTCAACTACTCCTTGTGGTTTACATGATCAGCACACTCTTGGTAGTGTGCTAGAACGTTGCAGTTCTATCAAGGATCGTGAATTATTCTGTGTGTACTTTAAAGAAAATGTAACTTTAAAAGTAAAGAACTTTAATGGCATTTCCTAATATCCGGACTCTCTGCTACTGCACTGCATCTTTTCACTAGAAACTAGATGCCCTTCACAAAAATAGATCACCTTGAGTTTTGTAATTGCCTGAAAACTCAATTTGAAAGCTTAACTCTTTTTTCTTAGCACTTAAAGAAGTTTGCTGAACTTTCTATGTTTTGTTAGTTTTCTCTAATTTTGTGTGATTTTTTTTATATTACACATTCATCGCAACTCTTCCACAGATTGACAGTTGCAGAAACACTCAAGAGAAATGACTGAAAGAAGTTTTTATGAATGCACTTTGCTATAAGAATAAGATGATTGGTCTGTCCAAGTAGGAAGCAATATAGTTAAAAGTGGAGGTAAACTCTGCATTTGAAGCTTTGTGGAATTGACTAGCCCCCAATGTCAATTTACAGCTTTTGACATCTAGAAGTTTTAAAACACATTGACCCAATGACTTTTATGTGCTTGGCTTTACCAGGTATAGTCCATGATGTCCCATCCCAATGTTTACATTACATTGGCTTGAAGTTGTCAAAAATCATAGCAAATATATACAAAAAACATGGTTCCCAAACCTCATAGGTCTACTTAAGAGCTCTGTTTCCCTGGCCTTGCTTACACCTGTGTCAAAATCAGTTGGAGATCTTTGCCTAAATCCTTGGCAGCTGACTTAATTTGTGGTTTACTGCTCCTGACAGTTTATTGGGAAAGCAAAGTGTGCCTTCATCTTCAATAATAAACAGCCCACCCGCTGACACTTTGACAGACTTAATGGTTTTTTATACAAAAATGGACAGACTTAATGTTTCGACTGTAGCGATCATCTGTCCTGATCTCCTTAATGAAATTAGATTAAGAGCACCTGGGAAAATGCTGAGACGGCACATTGCTTTCATCACCTCCTTTAATTTAAAACCAATTTGTGGGGAAAATATTCTCTGAAGCCAAGGGATTCAGAGAGAAAAAAGGAGGGAGGGAAGGGGATTTTTAAATCTATCTGGATAGCTGCTGGCAGCTTTAATTCCTTTCCCTGTTGGCAACGTGAAATATTAACCATCATAAGAACAGAGAGTTTATAGACTCATTCACTGTCCCTTCTGTCTTTCATAGAGAGGAAAGAAACAAAACAAAATCTTTACAATCAAGATCACATTCAAGGACATAGTCATTTGTATTGTGCGGCTTTTGGATTGGGATGGCTGGGGAAGGAAGGTGATGGATTTACAGAGGTTTGCTCACCTGTCCTGCTCTTGGAATAGCTGGGCTGAATTTCCCTAAAATGTATAATTTCCTCTACTTTTTTTAATTCTATGGAAATATTCTTTAGTAGTTAGCTAAGGCTTATCTTTATAATGATTCGGTTGTTCTGGTAAACAGTATTTTGCCAGTGTAGTAAACCCAGATGCAATATGTACAATATAGCATGGCAATGGAGCAGAAACATAGAACACTAGAACAGGAAGGAACCTTGAGAAGTCATCGAGTCCAGTCCCCTGCCCTCATGGCAGGACTCAGTACTATCTAGACCATCCTGGATAGATGTCTGTCTATCCTGCTCTGAAATATCTTCAGAGAGGGAGATTCCACAACCTCTCTAGGCAAATTATTCCAGTGTTTAACCACTCTGACAGGAAGTTTTTCCTAATGTCCAACCTGAACCTTCCTTGCTTGCCAAGTCGATTGCCTTGCCCCTGGATGTCATCGGTACCATCCCCAAGTAGCCACCATCACACAAGATTTATGTAATTATGTGTGGGACAGTGCTGCCATGGAGTGGGATTGGGATGGGGGTGCAGGATCTGTGTAGGAGGTGGGGTGCAAGTGGGGGTGAGGGTGCAAGGTCTAAGTGGATGGTAGGGTGCAGATGCAGGCTGGGAATAGGGTGTCTGGTCAAGGGGAAGGTGTAGGACCAAGGGATGGTGCAGAATCTGGCAACGAGGAAGGGTGCAGAGTGTGACCAGGAGGGAGAATAGAGGAGTAGGATGGGGGTAGGTGTCTGACCAGGGGGGAGGTGTAGGAGCAAGGAGGGAGGGTTTAAGAGTAAGGAAAACTGTAGAAGTCTTGGGGTTTAGGGTCTTGACAGGGGGAGGGGAGGGAGTGAGAGAGATTGGGTTCCAGGGGTCTGGGCATGAGGGGGACACTTACCTGGCTTTGTGTTCCTGGGCTCCCCACTCCCATGACTGTCCAGTTCATTTACCCTGCCAGAGATGCTGGCTCCCAGCAACCCCCCACAGCAATCCCCTCTCAGAGATGCTTCACAGGCTACAAGACAGCCAGGGCCTTGCAGCATTGGCACTGGAGCTACTTCTCTCACCTTGTGCAGAGAAGCAGCTGGCCCTGGGGTGGGGTAGGGGAGGAATTTAGGTGGGGATCCCCTGCTTACTGCTGAAATGCAGCCACCTCTGGGGTGGAGCTGTCTAAAAAGAGCACAGCACAGTTGAAACGAAGAACTGAAGGCCTGCTTTCCCCCTGCATTGGTCCAGGTCTTGCGCTCTGTCCATCTGTCTGTGCCCTTCTCCTTGGCTTGGGTTAAGCTGTGAGTAGCCCCTGGGGTCTGCTCCTTGCACAGCCTTACCTGTGGGAGTCACACTTTAGCATGTGCCCCCAGCTTCTACGATCGTGGAGCTGACCCCAAGTCCTTATTGCATCCTCACCCCAGCTCCCACTTCCCCCACCCCCATTCCTCTACTCTTCCCAGCAGGGCTGTGTCCTGGCTCTGTGTGGGGTGGTTAAGCTGTGAGTAGCCCCTGGGGTCTGCTCCTTGCACAGCCTTACCTGTGGGAGTCACACTTTAGCATGTGCCCCCAGCTTCTACGATCGTGGAGCTGACCCCAAGTCCTTATTGCATCCTCACCCCAGCTCCCACTTCCCCCACCCCCATTCCTCTACTCTTCCCAGCAGGGCTGTGTCCTGGCTCTGTGTGGGGTCCCTGTGCTGTCCGTAGTGGCAGGCGAGGACCCAGCACAGTTCTCAGGGACACCAAGGGCAGATTTCCCCACCCCATTGCTTCCTTCTTCCACAATCTCCCCACTTCCTCGTCACCCCCCAGCCTTCGACACCCCTGATCATCCCTGCCCATCTTGTGTTGTGGTCCCCGCAGGCAGGGCAGCCTGCTCCCACCCTCATTGCCTGTGGGTCTCTGCATGCTGGCAGGGCCGGGTCAGGCACGTGTGCAAGGACAGGACCTCAATCCTGCGGCTCTGTGCAGGGTCCCTGTGCTGCCTGGTGGAAACGGTTGGGGAGCCAGGGCAGCTCTCAGGGACTCTGAGGATGGACTCCCCCACCCAGTTGCTTCCTTCCCCCCTCAGTCTTCCTGCATGCTGGCAGGGGCAGGACAGGAGGCAGAGGAGCAGAAGCATGCATGTGGAAGCAGGGCACAGTCCCACAGGGCAAATCCTTCCATTTGCCACGACTTACTATATTCTTCTGGTTTCAATTATGGAAGAATGTCAATGTGAATACAATGCAATTCTTACAGCAATGTACTGACCTGCTCAGAGCTTGAGGGGGATCGCATATGAAGTGTGCCAACATATAAATTAATACAAATTGATGGTCTCAATACTGAGAGATTCTTGGCATCCTCTGCCCCCTTATTCTCCACTCCACCATCATCACCATTACTGTGAAAGTGAGAAGGAACTACACAGGACTGGAGGTAATGCTATATTATTGTAGTGGTTGTCATTGCTGTGGCCAAATAGTCACCTGCTGGCCATCTTTCTGATGACGAACCACGTCACACTTTGCTAGGCTGGTACTTGGACGGTGGACAAAAAGTCCACTGCCAGGGCCATATTTGAAATCTTTCCAGCTTGGTAAAGCCTGCCAGAGCTTACACTCTGCTACCATAGTCTTCAAGAGCCAAGAGTCACTTCCATGCCACGATGAGGCAATGGAGTAGGATTTTGTGACATCACTACTAGAATACAAATAATGTTCAATAACAGTAAATATGTGCTTATATAATGCTTTTCATCCCGAGATCTCCAAGTGTGCTAGAAAAATGAGTAAGCTTCATTGTCATCATTTTTCAGGTGAAAAATCTGAGGCTCAGAGAAAATAAATGGTTTGTCTGTGGTCTCAGAACAAATTAGTGGCAGAGTGCTAGCATCAGACTAGATGCCCAGGTTGCCTGACTCAATCCCAGGATGTGACCACTTCCTAATATGATTATTTCACGATTGTTACAAGCAGTCTCAGCCAAAACTAACCTTTGGACATTTGCCTTGTATATATTTATGCTCTGTAATAGTAACAGGCGTGCCTTGAAAATTAATTTACTCTTAGCTAAACCAGAATACATTTTTGGGTTTGTTTTCTTTAAAGTCCATTTTTTCGGACTTTACATTGAAACTCTGGTACTTGGTGAGACTTTGAAGCTTATTCTTGTAAGTGCTTTAATCTGTCAAGAGTATCAAGATATTGTTCTGATTGCTGTTTCCTTTAAACTCTAACAGTGGGGCTAAAAGAGCTCATTTGTACAACTGCAAAAAATTAAAAGGTGACCCAAAAGGAGAACTCATTGGATAGAAATGGCAATGTCTTGCCACATATGTCTGTATTTAGTCAAAAACATATTACTAGTTCTCCTCAGCCTTTTCAAGTCTCCACGATTCTTTGAAACTCTGGCTTTGTTTCTGCTTCATGCATCATTACCAATAGCCATCAACCATTTAAGTACTCAAGAATCATCTCTTGCCATGATAATAGGTAATGATGTCCAATGTAAAGCAGATGGTTGGATAGTGTCCTTTAAGTGAGTGAGTAAAAACTTGTTTTCACCTGCCCCTCTGCCCTGTCCTCATCTCAGATATATATGGGAATGGGGAGGGATGGAGGAAATACTTGCAGTGTAAAAGTAATGTATTTATTCTCCATAGTGCTTATCTTCAAAGCACTCCACAGACACTGATTCACCCTTTCCATATCCATATAATTATAGATAAGGTTCTCATGTTGCAGATGGGGAAATTCAGGTAAAGTGTCTTGTTCCAGACAAGAGAAAGCAATTAGAAGCAGACAGGAGTTCCTGACCCTGAACTTGTCTCCACTACATCAGGGATCGATGCTGCAGTGATCAACCAACCGGTCATTAATTTATTTTGTCTGCTTAGATGCAATAAATCGATCTCTGAGCACTCTCCCGTTGACACCAGTACTCTGCTGGGAGGAGAAGAGTAGCTGGTGTCGAGAGGAAAGCAGCTTTCGTAGAACTTAGCGCACACAAGATGCCACATAAGTACATCTCCTTTAGCTACGCTATTTACATAGCTGAAGTGACATAGATTAGATCGATGGTGGGGTTAGTACACTCAGGGCCTTTGGTCTCCTGCTCCAGTCTCTATACCATGCTGCCTCTATACATTCTCAATAACAAGGATATGTAGTGCTCTGTAAATGAGAAGGGAAAGATTTAATTGTTCTAAGGAGTACATTTTAAACATTCTTGTTTAAAATTAGCTTCTACATAGCTGACATGCAATAAAACATAACTCTGAAGTTTCATTTACTCCAATCCAATGGCCCTTTAATAGCAATTTAGTATAGATTTTTTTCTTATACAGTAACTGGTAAATAATTAGCACTAAACCAAGTGGAAAGAGTCACTAAAAAATAACAATATGATAGGGAGAGTGTGCGTAAGAAATGAATTTATCCTAACCCCCAGCTTAAAAATTTGGGAGTTTTCATTTCTTGGATGATCTCTCTGAATTGAATCTTCCCAGTTCTCTCCTCACCTGATCACACCAGCAGTGAATCCTGTAAAACAGTTTTATACAATTCACCTTAGTGTTCATGTCACAACATGTTATTTAATCAAAAGGCACTTTCCTTTCCATGGATTTGGGACAATTTTGTCTGCTAAGCAATTACTAATGACTAAATAGCTGTTTATGTAACTCTCTTACCCTTCTCTCTGTCCCTCCTTTACTCCTTCCTCCTGGAAGTTGAATTTCAGGCGTTAAATCAGTAGCACTATAGGCTTTCTCTCTGTAAGAGCAACGTTATCACCAATAATAAAGGATCTGTAACTGTCAACATTATGGCTGCATATAGACTGGCATGATTTGCACAAAAGCACCTGCTTTTGCGCAAAATCTTGCCACCAGTCTACACTGGCCGCGAATATTTGCGCAAGAACACTGACTTTGTAATGTACAAAATCAGTGGTTCTTGCGCAAATACTCTGACGCTCCCACTCAGGTATAAGTCCTCTTGCGCTAGTATTCTTGCGCAAGAGGGCCAGTGTAGACAGCAACGTTAATTTCTTGTGCAAGAAAGCCCGATGGCTAAAAATGGCCATCGGAGCTTTCTTGCGCAAGAGCGCATCTACACTGGCACGGATTCTTTTGTGCAAAAGCAAATCTTTTGCGCAAAGGCACATGCCAGTATAGACACTCTCTTGCGCAAATACTTTTAATGGAAAAACTTTTCTGTTAAAAGTATTTGCACAAAATCATGCCAGTCTAGACGCAGCCTATGTGAAATGGTTGGTGGAAGAGGAAACTATGGTGTGGGGAAGAGAACAAGATGATTCCTGTAGTGCTGTCTCTGTGTATTGAGACATGCAAGGAGAGTAGACTGTCTGCTAGTTAGATGAAGAGACAGTTATTTATAGAGACATTGTTAAGTCAATTAGGCCTAAAATTGATCTGTATTAAAAGTTGATTCATATTAAAAAGCAGTGCTATTCTAGCTACAACTGTATTTGGAAACAGTTGTCAAGCACCTGAGGATATTATGGTTTTAGCACAGAGTCACCATCTAGTGAGAAAAAAGATGTTTTAAACCAGTTTGCTTACCCAAAATCTTATCCTGTTCCATCCACTTTCCAAATCTTTAGCATTATTATTAGTATTATTGATAATTTTTCATTGTTGCCAATATCCTTTCTGCTAGTTGGTACACCAAGATCAAGACAGTCTTTGGCTAGATGAGCTTACAATTTCTAAACACAGTTCTCATCTGTTTTGTTTGAGTACATAATTTGTGTTACAACGATGATTTAAAATGGTTCCAAATACAGTTATAAGTACTAGTATGGAAGAGGTTAAGCTTTAATTTCAAGTTTTTTTTCCAAACGATGGCTCATGTCAAAGCAATATTGTATAGTGCAGATAAATAACATGCATTGGATTGGATAGGTTAGGACTCAGGTCCAAACCCTCTGATTTAGTAATTTTGATTTCCCTATTCAGGAAAGTACCTAAGCACATGCTTAAGTGCACCATGGCTACATTTAAACGTGTGTAATAGGGATGTGAATGACTAGTCCCCCACACCCTTGCTGCCTTTATCAAAAAGAGGCAGGAAGTGCAGAAGAGAGAAGGGAGTACTACAAAGCAGCAGTGCTGTATGGATCCTGTGGCCAGATCCCTGGCTCCATGCAGCACTGCCACTTTGAAGCACCGCTTGCAGCCCAGGGTTCCCAGCTGGTCCTGGGCTGCATAGTGGCGTTTCAGAGTGGTGGAGCCCAGGGTGAGCTGGGGACTCCGGGGTCAATGTGGTGCTGATGCTTTGAAACACCACATGGAGCCTGACACCGGACTCCCTGCAGCATTTCAAAGAGACAATGCAACATGGAACACGGGGTCATCGGGGGAGTCCCCAGCTAACCCTGGGCTCCATGTGGTGCTGCCACTTGGAAATGCCTCAGGAAGCATGGGACCAGTGGCAGACTGCTTGAGTCCCCCACTGGCCCCGAGCTCCCAACAGCGCTTCTGTCTTTGAAGTGTAGCAACAGCCCTAGAGCAGAAAGGCTCCCTTCAAAGGAAGAAGCACCTTTATCAACTAATAGAATAGTAGATGCAAATTGCATTGACTGTTCGATTAGCGAAATAATCGAAATTTTACATCCCTAGTGTGTAAGCTCTATGCTGAATAAAAATGGATTTAAAAATACAGTTTGCTAGACTGGGGGCTTAGCTCTTACTCAGGTGAAACTTCATAGTGTATACAAGTTTGTTTTTAGAATAAGGTGCATGTCCAACACTTCCTCCATTTTGCAGTCTGCTGTTATGGCTAGAATGGCCACCTTTTCCAAAGACAAAAGTGGGACATATGCAGGACCCATGTCCCCACCCTTTTCTGTTCTCTTCCCCCACAATGCCCACCCCTATGGCCAAGCCCAGAGGCAGAACTGCACTATGATAAAAGAGGCAGCAAGGCAGCGGGGGGCGGAGGTGGGGGCAGTGATCAGGGACTCTAGTGCAGCCCCCATCCCACAGGGCATGCTGCCCAGGGCAGATTCTGTGGCTCCCTGGGCAGCTCTTATCCTGGCCTGGCCAGGGAGTGGCCTGAGGGGAGAAGAAGAGGAACACAGGCAGGGCCTCATGGAGGGAGGGGGCTAAGTCTCACCTCAGTCCTCTCTCTCCCTGCACCCAAGACACTTGGAAAAGGCTGGTGTTATCCCTGAGTAGACATGGACTGGCTCTGCAGGGAATCTGTGACAAGAAAAAAAAATATATCCTGGAGTCATTCAGCCCAGGTTTGGAAATTGAACTTTGGATTTAGGGACTGTCCTGCCCAATTCAGGATGGGTAGTGTGGTCACCCGAATTATGACCTTGCTCAACCCTTTTCACTTATGCAAAACTCCCTATTTTGCCTAAGCAAAGAGCAGGCATTTTGGGGGACAACAAAATAGTGTGAAGATCCCAGAAGAAGCAAGTGATAAAAAAGGTGAAGTTTAATGTTTAATTCAATAGGCAATGTCCTTTTAAAAATTATGCTCATATTACCCTTTGTAACAGTTATGCTAAGAATAATAGCACTGATTGAATTTGGTGGGTTATAAAGAATTTCTGGTCCTCTTTGAGCCATATTCCACAGCACAAACTTGGATAAGCCAAGAAAAATGCTGCCCTAAGTTCACTAGAGTTTTGTTTGGAAGCTTAAAAACCTGTATATGTTCTGTAGATACATCCTCCCCAATCACAGTTAACTTAAGTTTTATGGAAAAGCTTGTCAGTCAGGGATCAGAAACAGTTGCTGACCAGATCTTGATTTATTTGACAATCTAAGTCATAAAATAATTATTTGTCTAACTCTTCATGATTAGTCTGAAGAGCCCTGCCAGCCGTAAGAGGACTGACTAGTCAGGAAACCACAGGCGTTTTGGCTTTTTTATTTGAAGGGCTGCAATATTATTTGCAATAATTTTTCATTTATTAATTTTGGCATTTCAAAATAATTCGCTGACGTGATGTGAACATTTTCCACACCAGCCATAAATCTATTACAGAGAAATTTAAAAAAACAAAATGACTCCATATTGCTTGCAGATGTATTCTGTAAAATAATTGTTTTTCACTGGGTTTTAAAGTTTCTGAGCCTTTGTAAACATAATGCCTAAGTGCTTTTATTCAATAAATGTCACCCATTCAGTAATTGCTTGCACATTGCAGTCTAGTAAATAAGGAGTGGATTTTGACCAAAGTCTGCATAGCATTTAGGTTGCTTAGGTCACAGCCATAGAGGAAAGACAGTGAGAAACTTGTTTTTTCAAACACAGGACTATGGCTTCAGGAACCAAGACAAATAAGCCATTTCTCTTTAATTAGTAGATTCCTGCTTTTAAGCAAAGTTTTCTTTTTTCTTAGTTCAGCAAGGCTAGGAACTTCAAGGAGGCAAAGGATGATAGTCATCTCATCCTCTTGACATTTCTTGGGATGTCATTTGGGGTACCTAACTCCCTCACGTTCCTTTGAAAATTCAGGCAATAAAAGGTTGGCTTCAGGTCTTTCTGTGCAGTCCTTCTGATAGGAAACACCATTAAAAAAGAGCCCTCAATGAGGCAGAAAGGATGGTTTGAATAAGCCATCTTGTAGCCTTAAGCTTGGGAAAATGTCAGTTGAAAAAATAAATTCACAAATGACTAGATTTTTTATGCTATGCAAGCAAATGACCTTACAATGAAAAAAATATTCCAGAAATAAAATTAAAGGAAAATCAAAACCAAACAAAACCACATTGACTATAATTCCTGCATCAGATTTGTTTGTTGCAGTCCCGAATGGAAGGCTTCAATCAAACAATTTGCAGTTGATGAGTTCTTATAGTAGTTTATGGAAATTGGTATTATGGGAAATATTCTCCCCTCTCTGCCATCCCCATTGCATGTGTATTTTGGCAGTGGTGTCCCAGAGTCCTCTTGCAAGGTGCTAAGAACTTTTGACTCACTGGGACTTAAGGGGACCCAGTATCTCACAGGATCAAGCCCTATGAGAGTGTAGGTGCTGAGTTGCATTGGAAAGTGATATCTGCCTTTTCCAGATACACCTAACAAAGGACAGTGATTGAAATCCTGGCCTTATTAAAACAAAAAGCAGGACTATGTAGCACTTTAAAGACTAACAAGAGGGTTTATTAGATGATGAGCTTTCGTGGACCAGAAAATTGGCACGACCATATATACCAAAGGATACAATCAAAAAAATGAACGCATATGAAAAGGACAAATCAAATTTCAGAACAGAAGGGGGATGAGGCGATCCATGTCCTGGATACCACAGTACAAATCACCAATGGTAAATTAGACAGCACTCTCTACAGAAAACCCACCGACACAAACCCACCTTCATGCCTCCAGCTCCCATCCAGAACACACCATATGAATCATCATCTATAGCCAAGCCCTTCGATACAATCGCATCTGCTCTAATCCCACTGACAGAGACCAGAAACTTCAGGATATCTACCAAGCATTTATAAGCCTCAACTACCCACCCAGAAAAATAAAAAAACAAATTGAAAGAGCCAGATGAGTACCTAGAAACCATCTACTTCAAGACAGACACAAGAAAACCAACAACAGAACACCACTTGTCATCACCTACAGCTCCCAACTTAAACCTGTCCAACACATTATCAATAAATTACAGCCTATACTGGAACAGGACACTAAACTCCAAGAAGCCTTCTGGGAGACAGACCCATAGTATCCTATAGACAACCACCTAACCTCAAGATCATTCTTACCAACAACCACAGGACATACCACACTAATACCAACCCTGGTACTTTCCCTTGCAACAAACCCCATTGCCAGCTTTGTCCACATATTCACTCTGCTGACACCATTATTGGGCCTAACCAAGTGAGTTATAAGATCAAGAAGATATATTCCTGCGCATCCAGAAATATAATTTATGCAAATTTAAATTCTGATTTATGAAAGTCAACTCCATTAAATACAGGACTATGTAGCACTTTAAAGACTAACAAGATGGTTTATTAGATGATGAGCTTTCGTGGGCCAGACCCACTTCCTCAGATCAAATAGTGGAAGAAAATAGTCACAACCATATATACCAAAGGATACAATTAAAAAAAATGAACACATATGAAAAGGACAAATCACATTTCAGAACAGAGGGGGGATGCTGGGGAGGCGGGGGAGGAAGGTAAATGCCTGTGCGTTAATGATATTAGAGGTGGGGAAGGGTAGATGTCTGTGAGTTAATGGTATTAGAGGTGATAATTGGGGAAGCTATCTTGGTAATGGGTAAGGTAGTTGGGGTCTTTGTTCAGCCCCCTGCGGAGAGTGTCCAATTTTAGCATGAATGCCCTTCTGTTCTGAAATGTGACTTGTCCTTTTCATATGTGTTCATTTTTTTTTAATTGTATCCTTTGGTATATATGGTTGTGACTATTTTCTTCCACTATTTGATCTGAGGAAGTGGATCTGGCCCACGAAAGCTCATCATCTAATAAACCATCTTGTTAGTCTTTAAAGTGCTACATAGTCCTGTATTTTGTTTCAGCTATATCAGACTAACACGGCTACATTTCTATCACTGTTTATTTTAAGCCACGGTGGCACTTTTTTGGTTCTCTTACTGTGTTTTTTAATTTGCGGTATACACTTATGTTGGGCCTCCATTATGGTGTCTTTGAAAGGTTTCCATGTAGCTTGAAGAGATTTTACTTTTGTTACTGTCTCTTTTAATTTCTGTTTAACTGACTTCCACATTTGCATGTAGATCCCCCTTTCTGAAATTAAATGCTGCAATGTTGGGCTACTGAGGTATTTTTCCTACCACAGGGATGTTAAATTTTATTACATTATGGTCACTATTTCCAATCGGTCCAGTTATATTGACCTCTTGGACAAGATCCTGTGCTCCACTTAGGACTAAATCAAGAATTTCCTCTCCCTTCGTGGGTTTCAGAACCAACTGCTCCAAGAAGCAGTCACTTAAGGTATCAAGAAATTTTATCTCTGCATCCCATCCTGAGGTGATGTGTACCCAGTCAATATGGGGAGAGTTGAAATTCCCCCATTATTGTTGAGTTTTTTATTTTGATAGCCTCTCTAATTTCCCTTAGCATTTCATAGTCACTATCACTGTCTTAATCATGTGATCAATAATATATCCCTACTGTTATATTCTTATTATTGGAACATAGAAATACTGTGCAAATACTGTGCCTACTGTGTGTTGGGGATCAGATGCTAGAAGTAAGCAGAACGGTGAGAGGGGTAAAATAAATAAAATAAAAGCTAGGAACAACCATACTTTCTTATTTGTTATTACCGAATAGGGGGAAATGAGTGGAAAACAGGGCAGACTTGTGCCAGAAGCAGAACTAGAACCCAGTGGCACAAGCACAGCTACATTTCTATCACTATTCTACATGGGATTTCCTGTAACTGCTGCAAGTCAAAAATTTTAGCAAATGAAGCTAGCCTACTATCTTTTGTACTAGCGTTGCAGAACCTGTTCTATGCCCCTTTGCAATAGACTCTGACCTTGCTGTGGGTATGCATTTTTTATGAGTACCATGGAATATGCATATAAGCTGGCTTCAGGGAAGTCATGCATGCAAATTATTCTAAGACATTTATATAGTGCTATAAATGCACATAGTGCTTTGCAAAGCATATACCAGGGCTACTCAATACGAGGCCCTTGGGCTGCATGTGGCCCGCGGCACCTTGAGCTGCTTCCTGGGCCACCTGCCTGCCTCATCACTGTGGGCTCCAGCAGCAGTGACTCCCTGAGGCAGCGAAGTACATGGCAAGGCAGTGGCAGAGCTGGGCAGCAAGAGACATGGTGAAGTGGCGGTGGAGCCAGGCAGCAAGGCCGGGGTTAGAAAGGTCTACACTGGGCCTTGGGTAGGGTTACCATACGTCAAGTTTTTCCTGGACATGTCCTTATTTTCACATGTTATATCACCTTCCCAACGGGTTTTTTAAAAGAGAAAAAAATGTCTGGGATTTTTTGGTCTGCAAAGGGGATCAGGGAGGGGGCAACTGCACATGTCTTCAATGGAACATTCAAGGCCGGGGTTAGAAAGGTCTACACTGGGCCTTGGGTAGGGTTACCATACGTCAAGTTTTTCCTGGACATGTCCTTATTTTCACATGTTATATCACCTTCCCAACGGGTTTTTTAAAAGAGAAAAAAATGTCTGGGATTTTTTGGTCTGCAAAGGGGATCAGGGAGGGGGCAACTGCACATGTCTTCAATGGAACATTCGGAACTGCATGCCCAGACCATTCAC